GGGCGGGGCTCGGTGGCTCAGCCTGTAATCCCGCGCCTTGGGAGGCCGAGGTGAGTGGATTGCCTGAGCCCGAGTTCGAGACCTGCCTGGGCAACTTTGCAAGACCTCATCTCTACAATAAAAATCAAAAAAATTAGCCGGGCGTGGTAGCGCACGCCTGTAGTTCCAGCTCCTTGGAAAGCTGAGGGGGAAGGATCGCCTGAGCCTAGCAGGTCGACGCTGGAGTGGCCATGAGTGTGTCACTGCACTCCAGCCTGGGCACAGAGTGTGACTCTGACTCAAAAAAAAAAAAGCAGGACACATCATAAGTCCTGGGTATCTGTATCTTGTCTCAGGTCTCGTTCATGCTTATGTATGATTATTCCTTCTGCCACAGTGGCTTTCTGCAGCAGAGGGAAGCTATCGTGGCCCCACGGGATACCCGGCAATATCAGGAGACATTTGGTGGTCACAGCTTAGGGCGAGGGGAGAGGCCAGAGAGGCTGTTCAATGTCCTGCAATGCACAGGACAAAGCCCACAGCAAAGAATTTTTGTCCAAAATGTCCACAGTGAGAATCCATGTTCTAACGGAACTATTTTTTTAAAGCTCTTATTCATGAATTTATATTTTAATTCCAAAGAAAAATGGGAATGCTTTCAATGAACCTTCACATATCACACCGTGATGCACAGGAGAAAATCTAAGACACAGAGCGATGGAGCCCCTTAATGCCCTGCCCTGCTTGATTCCAGAGTTGCACAAGTTGGCATAAAGAAAGACAGGGCCGAGGCGGGGTGGTGCACACCTGTATTCCCAGCACTCTGAGAGGCAGAGTTGAGCCCCTAAACCCAGGGTCTCAAGGCTAGCCTGGGCAATTTGGTGAGACCTCGTCTCTACATAAATAAAAAACTTAGCCAGGCATGGTGGCAAGCGCCTGTGGTTCCAGTTTCTTGGAATGCTAAGACGAAAGGATTGCCTGAGCTGAACGGGTTCAGGCTGCAGTGGCTGTGATCATGCCACTCCACTCTACTCCAGACAACAGAGTGAGACTCCAACTCAAAAGAAAAAAAGGAAGGCAGCGGGAAGGAGAGGGAGAACTGGGCAGCAGAGGCTGATCGGCTATTTAAAAATCTGCCAAACAACAGCTATGTACTCATGACTTAGCTTTAAAATACTCAATGCATGCAATAAACAAGTAAATATTTATGTAATCAGTTTTGTACTCAAGGCCAAAATGTTTTAACCTTCACATCTTATATCACAGAAAAAAGACAATGATTAAAACCCCAGTATGTGATCAAGAAGACTAATCCCTTGACAAACACAGTGAATTAAAAATAAATTACTTAAAATGGCTGGAGGCTCGCATGTTTTCCCTTTCATTGAATAAATGACTCTGGAGATATTTCTCCTACCCAACCTATTAAGATCATTTTACAGTCCCACAAAAAAAAATATTGATACTCACGTTCACTTGAACTTGAATGGACCAGTCACCGAGTATTGGATGGGAAGATAACTGAAAAGTTTTGGAAACGACTCCAAGGTCGCTTTGTTGTGACAGCCACTGCTGGATCAAGTTTGACTTGGGGTCCTAAAACGAGAACCATACATGTAACCAAACAAAAGCCACCCACATGCGTGCGTGTCTTATCTGGTGAAGAACAAGACCTCGCGGCATTGCCAGACACACCCAGAACTCTCCCCGAAAGATGGCAAAAAGATAGTTTTTGGGAAATGTTGGCTCTATGTTACTCTAAGGAGGCAAATCAAACATCTTCATTTCTCCAATCTCTCCCGAAATTATCGTGATTCTGTCCACCTTTTAAAGCCTGGTACCGAATTTCCTTCCACATGAATCACTCACTACACCGTGTATATCACCAAATCTGTGGCAGTGGGGTGGCAGTGTTAGAAGAAAATTCCACTGTGGAGATAAAGGCCCCATTGATGGCTTTCAAAGCCGCCGCCTTGATCAGCCATGGTCAACCCCACCATGTTCTTCGACATCACCCTTGGGCCGCATCTCCTTCGAGCTGTTTGCAGACAAAGTTCCAAAGACAGCAGAAAACTTTCATGCTCTAAGCACTGTAGAGAAAGGATTCAGTTATAAGGGTTCCTGTTTTCACAGAATTATTCCAGGGTTTATGTGCCAGGGTGGTGACTACACGCCATAATGACACTGGCGGCAAGTCCATCTATGGGGAGAAATTTGATGATGAGAACTTCATCTTGAAGCTCACAGGTCCCAGCATCTTGTCCATGGCAAACGCTGGACCCAACTCCAACGGTTCCCAGTTTTTCATCTGCACTGAATGGTTGCATGGCAAGCATGTGGTTTTTGGCAAGGTGAAAGAGGGCATGAATGTTGTGCGAGCCCTGGAAGGCTTTGGGTCCAAGAATGGCAAGACCAGCAAGAAGATCACCATTGCTGACTGTGGACAACTCTAAGAAATTTGACTTGTTTTACCTTAAACTACCAGATCATTCCTTCTGTAGCTCAGGAGAGCATCCCCTCCATCTCATTTGTTCGCAGTATCCCTATAATCTTTGTGCTCTTGCTACAATTCTTTGGGTTCCATATTTTCCTTATTCCCTTCCATGTCTAGTTGGATTGCAGAGAAATAAAAACTAAATAACAATTGCCAAAAAAGAAAAGGCCCCATTGACCAAAGGCTAAAAAAAGGCCCCATTGACCAAAGGCTCACTACTGTCAGGCACTGTGCCTTATCTCTAATCATTATAATTCTCCTTCAGGGCAGAAAAATCCTCACTGGACACGGAGGTTAGACATAAGTGATTGGCATGACCCAAGACTGAAGAACCAGCGCAGGAAGTTTGAGACTCATGCCTGTCTCTTTAACTCAACAAAAGTGGACCCGAGAGAAGCTTAACCAAGGGAAGATGTGAAAAACATTTGTCTTCTCAAATATATACTGCCTCTAAGAGTAAGATGTGTTTACCAAACAACGATCCCCTCCTGCAACCTCTGTCTAGGCATTCCAGCACCATCCAGAGACTTCTCTCATGCTCCCAGCCACATCTCCAAAGCGTCTCCTCCTCTCCATCCTCACATCCAGCCACTGCTTCCTGTTTTCTAACTAATGTAACAAGCCTTCCCCCTCCGGCTTGCCCTCTGATGCAGCCTTGCCGGTGCCAACAGCATGACCATCGGAAACACAAGCCTGAGAATGAGTCGCAGAGGCTGGCATACCTGGCATGGGCCCTGGTATATAGCAAGCAGTGAAGAAACATCAGTGTGATAACCATACTAGCCCAAGAAGCAACCGTGGCTTCTGTGCCCACAGAGTCTACCCTCCTTCGCACAGCTTGCAAGGCCCTTGGTAATCTGGCTTCACTGGCATCTCCAGAACCATCTTCCTCCACGCACAGATGTGTTTGCAGTTCTCCACGCATATCCAGGCCTTGCAGCTGCCACCCGCAATGCCCTCCCTTCCTGCCTGTGGTGAGATGAGCTCCAGTCTCTTGTCTTCCACCAGCAGCAAGAGGTGGCCACATCCTGGAGAGCCTACACAGCTGGAACTTACCTCGCTTGAGTGCATATTACTCTTAGAGGCAGTAAACTAGATTTATTTTACATGCCTTATTTTGCCAAAAAAAATATATATGTGTTGTATTATTCCCACCTAGACTCTGAACTTCTCAGGGCAGAGGAGGAATCTTTTCCCACCTTCTTACTCTCTAAATTTTGATAGAATCAGTGAGTTGGCCCAGTTAGTAGAAGCCAGGAAAAAAAACCTCTCCCCCAGAGTGGGAATAAGAAAGTTACGGGTGAGAACAAAGCTGAGAGTTGAGGAGGAAGAGGTCTAATAAGCCAGAAACCAATTGTGAAAACCAGAGACAAAAACCAGCAGGTCACTGTATCCCTGGCCAAGTCCCAGACCAGGCACTGTGACCAGCTGTTGGCTCCACTGACCTGCCCAACATGATGGATACATGGGAGAGCCGTGGAGGTAAAGACTCAGGAACAAAGGAAGGAATACAAATGCCTCGTAAGTATCTGCTGTCTAGTGGTTAAGAGCGTGCACCAAAAACAATGTCATGGCGTTTATCTCCTGTCAGACAGACAAAAGGAAAAGTAATACTAACAACAAGAGCCCTTGGTGTTCCCTAAAGTGCAGAAGGGTGCATCCACATTCTAGGATGTGTTTGTGGAGAGGGGGAAACTTCTCCCAGGCAGGGCCACGGACCTGCCACCAATGAAGTCCACCCTCACTGTACCTGGCAGATCTGGGGGGGCCGGAGTGAATGGGCCCATCCCTCTGACTCCAGCCTGTCTTGGACCTATGCCTACCTGTTCCAGGCAAGAAAGATGGAGAGGATAGAGTACCCACAGAAGTCTGCAAGATCAGGACGAGGACGCCCTGCACGGTGGCACCAGACGGAGCCCAGCACTTGCATGTGGCTGTCTCCTGCTGGGACTTACACATGACGCCCAGATGTGAATGGTGTGCAGGTGTGAACGGCGCCCTTTCACAACCAGAAAAGCCGTGTGTCAGAGATGCTGGAACAGTTGCCCCTCGCACCCTCTGAGTCACCTCCAGAAAGTTCTAGATCTCTGTCAAATGCCTCCACACTGCACCTGTGAGCTATGCCAGATGGTCTCAGGCAGGAAACTCCCCAGCTGGAGAATGTGTCTGAAAGGGCTGTTTCCGAAGTCCTGGATTATGTGTGAGGGATATGTCTGTCCACACACAGAGTTAGAAAAGTCAAATCATGTAATCCCAGCACTTTGGGAGGCTGAGGCGGGAGGATCACTTGAGGTAAGGAGTTCAAGACCAGCCTGGGCAACATCGTGAGACCTCGTCTCTACAAAAAAATTTTTAAAAAAACAAAAACAAAAAACCTTAGCCAGGCACAGTGGCGCACACCATGTGTCTCAGGAGGCTGAGGTCAAAGGAACTCCTGAGCCCAGGAGGCTGAGGCTGCGGGGAGGTGTGATTAGGCCACTGCACTTCAGTCTGGGCAACAAGGTGAGACTCTAACTCAAAAAGAAAGAAGAAAGAAAAGGTCAAATCACTCCAATAAGAGAGTCCCCTTGCCTGGCCAGGGATGAGGCTTGGAGTTGGCCACGGCTGCTCTGGGCCGGAGCACTGGGCACAGTCACAGGACAGACCCCCAAGCCAGCTACATCTCTGCCCACACAGGCCTTCACCTGTACCAGGAGCAGCAAGTTCTCACAGGAGAGGTCAGGCAGAAGCCAGCCACACCCACTGTCATCTCACATCCGGGCAGGCACTTCCATAGCGTTAGGCCACACTGGCTGGAGAAAGTCTTCTGAAGTCCCTTTCTTCCCTGAGAGGGCCAGTTACTGTGGCAGGCAAAAATGAGTAACAGCCAGCGACTCCCACGCCCCAAGAGCACACTGACCACCCGCAGAGTGCCACGGCAGCCACGTGACTCAGATGTACTTTTCCCATCAGCTTGCAGATGACACTGTCCCAGGCAGCGCCGCTGTCAGTTGGGGCTCTGGTTAGGCTAAGTTCCACTTTTTTCTAAAAAGCTTTGCCAGGAAATCAACCATTCCACAGAGGTGTGGACACCATCACAGCGTGGTAAACCTTGGCCAAATTACTGTCTTGGCAGAAAGAGGACAATGTGGGCATTTGTGGCAATGCTCTGCCCTGCAATACTTTTCGGCAAGCTGCAGGAACAAGGCCACCAACCCAGGTCTACATCGGAGCCTATCCCCAGGTACACAGAGGTGGGTTCAGTCACTCCCTAGTCACTGCTGCAAACACTTCAGGTGCCAAGTGGAACTTGAGTTTAAACTCCCCTCCCCTGGCCAAGAGGGCCTTGCCACCAGGCTGGTAGGGGCTTTCGGTACCGGAGTTAACAAGAGGATGGTCTCTACGGACCCCTTCCTGAAAGCTAAATGTAGAGGCCAAGGCCAAAGCTGAACAGGGGAGACCAAAGAACCTACACTTGGAAAGCTTCAAAGGCAGAAGCTGGAACAGAGCAGAAAGGCGGAACAATAGAAACACAGACTTGTTATTCATAGCAGCAGGGTTAGCTCTGGGGGAGTGCCTAGAATAGGCAATCTATCCAGGGTTTTTATTTCCCTGAGGGAGAAGGAAGGATTGAACGCAAACAGCCAGAGTTAGGCAGACATTTCCTGGTGCATCATCTGTTTTACACACAGTTCCTGGCATCTGGTGAGTTTTCTGTGTGGATGAATGATGAGGATGGTATGAATGGAGCCTGTCCCAGCCTGCCCTGAGAGCCACGTACATTCAGAAATGCCGTATACACCACGGTAACCTGCTTCATATACATTCCATCACACGACAAAGGCAGAACAGTTGCAAATCCTGAAGCCACCCTGTCAAATTTAAGAAATATGCAGCCGGGCTCGGTGGCTCAGCCTGTAATCCCGCGCCTTTGGGAGGCTGAGGTGAGTGGATTGCCTGAGCCCGCGGGTTCAAGACCCGCCTGGGCAACTTGGCGAGACCTCATCTCTACAATAAATCAAAAATTAGCCGGGCGTGGTAGCACGTGCCTATAGTTCCAGCTACTCGGAAGGCTGAGGTGGAAGGATCGCTGGAGCCCAGCAGGTTGAGGCTGCGGTGGCCGGGAGCAGCCACTGCCCTCCAGTCTGGGTGACAGAGTGAGACTCCAACTCAAAAAAAAAAAAAGAAAAGAAAAGAAACATGCACGGTGCATCATGCCTACCCACAAGACATTTGCTACAGTCAAATCTTGGCTTAAAGCGAGACATATATATGTTGATTGATTTTGTTGTGGTTGTTGTTTCCATGTATAACAACAAAGAAACTACGGTGAACAGGAAGATACTGAACTAAAAATCCCAAACTTGTTTTGCACAGTATGCTATTCATTAGAATATTGAGGGTGACCAATCTCCTGGGACTGACAGGGTTCCCAGGACCGGGGTTTTTACATTTTAAAATCAGGAATGTCCCAGGTCAACTGGGATGAGTTGGTTACCCTATTTCCACGTAAGGATCAAGGTCCAATATTCTCCTCTGCTGAAATATAGAAAACTCGGCCCAGTTGTGTCTCAACCATCTTCAACTTGATTCTCACGGGAGAGCACTGGGTCTGTTACATTCTGCTCCAGGTCACCTGGGTGCTGGAACAGCAGAGCCCAAAGGACTACCCGTCAATGGGAGTCCTTGAGTAATAATAATGTCCAGTGTTTAGTGAGCACGTGCCATGAGCCAAACAGTTCTAAATAGTGAGGTATTATCATTGCGTATTTTACAGATAAGAAAACTGAGCCTCTGGGAGATGAATTACTTCCCCCAAGATCACACAGTTAGCCTCTGTTGTTGTTCTTTTTTTTTGAGTCAGAGTCTCACTCTGTCGCCCAGGCTGGAGTGCAGTGGCACGCTTCCGGCCACCGCAGCCTCAAACTGCTGGGCTCCAGTGATCCTTCCGCCTCAGCCTTCCAAGTAGCTGGAACTACAGACATGAGCCAGCACTCCCAGCTAATTTTTTGATTTTTATTGTAGAAATGTGGTCCTTGCAAGTTGCCCAGGCTGACTTCGAGCCCCTGAGCTAAGGCAATCCTCTCACCTCGGTCTCCCAAAGTGCTGGGATAACAGGCGTGAGCCACCACGACCGGCCGCCTCTGTTCTTCTTAGAGATGACAGTGATCTTTTTAAAATGTTTAGTAAGATCACATCACGTCTCAGGATTCTCCAGTGAATTCTCATTTCTGTGTGAAATCCAAAGGCCAGCTCATGGCCGACAAGACCCTGTCGGAGCAGGACCCAACCCACCTCCTACCTCCTGCACCTTGCAGGATTTTCGAGCTCCAGCACTTCTAGCTGCTGTGCCCCACCCCTGCACAGCCTCTGGCCTATCCACAGCTTCCCCTCTGCTTGGGCTGCTTTCTTTATTTCCTTTAGGGCTCTGCTCAGACTGGTTTTCCTAACATCCCTGCTTGTTTTCGAACAGCAAACATAAGCTCTCCTTCTCACTCTCTCTCTCACACACACACGAACACATACACACCCGTGCCTGTCTCCTCCCTACCCACTGAAAAACAAACTCCAGCTGGGTGCGGTGGTTCAGCCTGTCATGCCAGCACTTTGGGAGGCCAAGGCGAGAGGACTGCCTGAGCCCGCAGGTTCGAGACCAGTCTAGGCAACTTGATGAGACCTCTTCTCTACAATAATTCACAAAAACTAGCCAGACGTGGTGGCGTGCGTCTGTAGTTCCAGCTACTTGGAAGGCTGAGGCGGAAGGATCGCCTGAGTTCAGCAAGTCGAGGGTGCAGTGGCCGTGAGCATGCCACTGCGCCCCAGCTTGGGCGACAAGAGTGAGACTCCAACTCAAAAAAAAAAAAGAAAAGAAAAAGAAAAACAAACTCCACGGGAGCACCAGCTTAGTCTTTTCTGCTCACTCCCCTACATCAGTGCCTAGAACACAGAAGCCCAGTAAATGTTTGATGACTGAATAAAGAAATGAACAAGCTGGCAGGAGCCTGAGCTCTGAGGTTGCTGCTGTCCACCTCCCTTCCTGGACAAAGGATTCCACTTGGAGGGAAGCTGGTCTCAGGCAATTCTCAGGTTTTCCAGCATCAACAACATGACAGAACTTCCCAGAGAGCTTCAGAGAGCCTGAACATCTCTGTCACCTCTGTCTTGCACTCACCTTCAGGAGAATGTTCAGAGAGGTTCTGTACGGCTTGAAATCCGAGAAGAGAGTGACAACGCGAAACTTCACTTCCTGCTTTGGCTTGTATAGGGCTTTGTCTGTCTGGATGAAGACAGACACTCTCTTGGTCTCAAAGGACAAGCGTGTTCTATTAGAGAATACAAGCATACCCTGGGCATGTCCCGTCACCCGCAGTTCATAAAGCCCATCGGCACTGTTCAGAGACAGCTAGGGGAAAGAGAGAGATCACACATTTTACCTCTTAGTTACAAGTTGGAATTAAAAACTTAACTACACAGTACTATCAAAAGTCACTGCAATGTTGAAAGATTTGCCCCTGCTGGATCCCAAAGTCAAGCCATTTGTTTTCCCTCTGTTAACATCTTGTCACCTGTTCCCCAGTTACAGGTCCCCAAAGCTCTGGAGTTGAGAATCTAGCCTGCAGCTTGCATTCTTATATTGTCTCAAGTGACATTTCACTCCCCAGACTCTCTCTCTCTCTCTTTTTTCTTTTTTGGTGTCAGAGTCTCACTCTGTTGCCCAGGCTGGAGTGCAGTGGCACACTCACTTCTGCAGCCTCGACCCGCTAGACTCAGGGAATCCTCCCACCTCAGCCTTCCAAGAAGCTGGAACTACAGGCACGCACAACTACGGTGACTAATTTTTTTAATTTATTGTAGAGATGAGGTCTCACCAAGTGCTGGGCTCAGGCAATCCTCTCACCTCAGCCTCCCAAAGTGCTGGGATTGCAGGTGTGAGTCACTGAGCCTGGCCTCAGACTCTCTTAATCAGCCCAGTGAATGAACTACCTAACAGATACTTTTTTTTTATAAAGACGTGGGGTACAATTCAGGGTTAGGTATACCAACATTGATTATGCAGGTACCCTTGTTAATGAGGTGTGCCCCTCCCTCCCCTGGCAGTTTCTCTCAACTGACAATCCCTTTCTTATAGTATTAAGATAATTGTTCAAGGTCCGCTTATGACCTCACAGATTCTTTACACATAAACAAGAAAATGTATGTGCTAGGAATCAGCAAGCCACATGTTCATAAATGGCACAGATTTCTAAATATTTTAAGTTTAAGCCAGGCTCAGTGGCTCAGCCTGTAATCCTAGCGCTTTGGGAGGCTGAGGTGAGTGGATTGCCTGAGCCTGCAGGTTCGAGACCCACCTGGGCAACTTGGCAAGACCTCATCTCTACAATAAGTCAAAAAAAATTAGCCGGGTGTGGTAGCGCATATCTGTAGTTCCAGCTACTTGGAAGACTGAGGCGGAAGGATCGCTGGAGCCCAGCAGGTCGAGGCTACAGTGGCCGGGAGCAGCCACTGCACTCCAGTCTGGGCAACAGAGTGAGACTCCAACTCAAAATATATATATATCTTTTAAGTTTAAGAATATAATATTTGGGACTGAGCACAGTGGCTCACGACTGTAATCTCAACACTTTGGGAGGCTGAGGCAGGAGGATCACTTCAGGTGAGGAGTTTGATACCAGCTTGAGCAACCCAAAGTGAGACCCTCATCTCTAAAAAAAAATAATAATATAAAATAAAATTAAAAGAATACAATATTTGGGCTGGACCTGGTGGGAATTTTTTTTTATTTAAAAAAAAAAAAAAATTTAGGCGGGCTTGGTGGCTCAGTCTGTAATCCCAGCACTTTGGGAGGCCAAGGCAAGAGTATTGCCTGAGCCTACAGGTTCAAGACCAGCCCAGGGAACTTGGCAAGACCTCGTCTCTACAATAAATCAAAAATTAGCCAGGCATGGTAGTTCTGGCTACTTGGAAGGCTGAGACGGAAGGATCGCCGGAGCCCAACGGGTCGGCACTGGGGTGGCCGTGAGCATGCCACGGCATTCCAGTCTGGGTGACAGAGTGAGACCCCAACTCCAAAAATTAAATAAATAGATAAATTAATTAATTTAATTGTAAAAACTTAAATACAGTATTTGGTGGAATTTCTCTTTATGATTTGACATAGTTTAATCACCTTTAGTGGTATAGAGGCTGCGGCCCAAATGGCAATTGAAGACTGAGGTCAGATGACACAGAGGTCTGAGGCTTAAAAGGCCTATTTGCCACAAGGAGGTCAAAGAGTAAGAGAATTAAAGTGAACACACATGTGCCCAGAAGTATCTCACTCTTGTCCCCCGTTCCATCCTCTGCAGACTCAAGGGAGACATCACGATCTCTCTGCCCCTTTGGGTTACCTTGACTAATCTGCCTTTTCAAATGTCCCCCTTAGTAACCCCTCCTCCCCACACACGAAATGTAGAGAATAAGGGCCCTCAAAGACTCAGTGCTCATCCAAATGCAGGAAGATCAGTGGTGACCACATGGGCCCTGCCAGTCAGCAGCCTGGGTCCCTCTTGAAGCACAGTCCCAGTGTCACCAGGACTCTGGGGGCATTCCAGAGGCCTGAGCAGTCAGCGCACACCTCAGACTCCAGTGTGAACAGTCAGGTACAAAACCAGAAGACAGTCAATTTCAAGCAATCTTTACGACAGTTGTGCTCTCAGGGTCAGGCCTAGAAGGGGCTATAACCCACGGCAAAGCAGATGCCATGAGGGGACAGAGCTCCTGTGTCTCTGCTGGCCCATCACCTCCTGCCTCTTTGGGCCACTGGTAGGGAAAGGGGTTCCAGAATTGGCAACAGACACAGCGGCTTCCTACAAGGGATGCCCATGCCTCTCACAGGAATCCACGATCTGCATGCCTACTCCCTGACCTACGGGCACAGGGCTGGAGGAAGATGCAGTCCCCATAGCTGGAGACTATATGAAACAGGATGAGATTCTGGGAGCTAACAGTACCAGGAGACATGGATCTCCAGGATCCCAGGCAGCCTCCAAGTGGATATGTATGCCTGCAGCCACACTAAGTCCACTCTGTGTCACCTAGACGCGGTCGCCCTCCGTACCTGACAGATCCCTGCCCAGAGGACCTGAGAAAGGTGTGCTCAAAATGACCTTTGCTGGACCTTAAATAGGGATGAAGTAATCTAGCCTGGGTTTTCCAAAGCCATGTAGCCTTCTCTGATAGATCTGTTGCTTCAAAGAAACTGAGACAACATAGTAGTATTTATCCTCAAAGAGTTCATGAATAATGCCAGTTACTAGATGCAATGAAGACAAACTTGTAAAATAAATTTGAGACAAATTTTTTTTGAGTCAGAGTCTCACTCCATCACCCAGACTGGAGGGCAGTGGCACACTCATCGCCAACCCAGCGTCCAACTGCTGGGCTCCAGCGATCCTTCTGCCTCAGCCTTCCAAGGAGTCAGATCTACAGGCGCACACTTCCATGCCTGGCTAATTTGTTTTATTTATTGTAGAGATGAGGTGTCACCAAGTTGCCCGGGCTGGTCTCGAACCCACATGCTCAGATAATCCACTCGTCTCAGCCTCCCAACGTGCTGGGATTACAAACTGCCTCTTTGAATTCAGCCAAATTTGAGGAAAGTAAGATGACAGTTTCTATTCAAAATATATTTGTAATTATACATAAACTTTAAAAACATGTCTAATTAAATAAAACTGCTCCCTTATTTTAAGCTTGATTTGTTTACAAAGAGAATAAAATAAGTTTTTCTACCACATTGTATTTTTAAAATAATATTTGTATTAAGCATCAATTATGGTGTTTTTGGTTTTTGTTTTCAGTCAGGATCTTGCTGCCACCCAGGATGGAGTGCAGGGCACGATCACAGTTCACTGCAGCCTTGAACTCCTGGACTCAAGTGTTCCTTCCTTCTAGGCCTCCTGAATGGCTGGGACTATAAGTGCCTGGCACCATGCCCTGCTATTTTTTTTTTTTTTTTTTTTTTGTAGAGGCAAGGTCTTGCTATGTTGCCCAGACTGGTCTCACAGTCCTAGACTCAAGGAATCCTCCCACCTTGGCCTCCCAAAGTGCTGGGATTACAGGTGTGAGTCACTGCACCCAGCCCAATTATGTTTTCATTTACTTCTTATTGAGGGCTATTTTAGTGTAACGAATAAAAACAATGAGTAAATCAAGACATTAAAAACACATTTGTTTGAATGCAGTCCTAAAATATTCATATTTTACAGGAAGAAGTTATTTTTAAAAACCCTTAGAAATAATTTAAAATATTACATTGCAAACATCAGAATGCAAGTGCACTTTAAAAGGTGGGGTTTAGGCCTGGCTCCGTGGCTCAGTCTGTAATCCTAGCACTTTGGGAGGCTAAGGCAAGAGGATTGCCTGAGTCCACGGGTTCAAGACCAGCCTGGGCAACTTGGTAAGACCTCATCTCTACAAAAAATCAAAAATTTGCCAGGCGTCGTAGTGCATGCCTATAGTTCCGGCTACTTGGAAGGCTGAGGCAGAAAGTTGACGCTGGGGTGGCCATGAGTATGCCACTGCACTCCAATGTGGGCAACAGAGTGGGACTCTGACTCAAAAAAAAATAAAATAAAAAGTGGGGTTTAAAAGTTCTTTCTACTTCCATTGAAAACTAATGAAAATGCAGAGCTTTCTATTTTTGCAAGCATTATCAAATCTGCCCAGACACCTTATGACTAAGTCTTTACAAACATGCTTTGCTAAAAAGGGATGTACTCCAGAATATAACCTCTAGTGAAGCTGTCAATAAACTGTTGCTATTATCTACAAACAATGGAAATGGCGTATTATTACAGATAAATACCAGATGTTGGAGTCAGCACTTCATACGTCTAAGTGAACTCCAGTAGCCAAATCCTATAGAGAATAGTAGTTTGGGCAAGCCCCATTGGTGCTAATTGCTGAAGAAGCCCTCGGCCCTGGTCCGGTCTCTGCCTTCCAGCCTTTCCACACTTCCTGTCTGTCAACCACAAACTCCTTTGAGGAAACCAGTTATTGGGTTTTAAGCTATAATTCCTGAACTTGATTACCACCCTCCTTCTGCTGAGGGGCAAATATATGACAGGATGTATTTGAGCCTTTCCCCAGAACGCCCTTTCAACACGGCCCTCACAGGCAGCATTTGATGTTTCTATTCATGACTCTCATGTTTTATCATCACAAAGATGGCAAGTTTCCCACTTCTGCCTGCCTACACTTTCTTTTGGCCCACTTTCTTTTTTTGGCCCACTTTCTTTTTTTTTTTTTAATGGAAAAAGTTTTTATTATGATTTTTCAAGAAATACAGCATATACATAAAAACATCTCATCAGTTATAAGTATTAATTTAGTATTCCTATAACTTGAGAGAGGTAAAAGTTATTTGCTAGTAGGCCTGAAGATGGATATTTCATGTAAGTTTCTGGGCTTCTTGTATCTCAAACAAATTGTATAAAAGTTTAACTTCGGTATTTATTCTAGCATGACAAAAATCAACTGAGAAAGTAGAATAACAACCACTTTCTTTTAGAGGTAACTTGACGTACATTAAAAGATATACATCAAACTTATTTTCATTCATTCTGCAAGCTTATTAGAGCATGTAATATTTTTGGTCCACTTTCTATTGTTAGCAGCAGTATGTTTCTTAGGAAGGCAAGTACAAACATAATATGTAAAAACCATAATGGCGATAGCATATTAAGTAATTTTTATAAAGTACTGTCTGGGTGTACAACATTCTCTATGGACCCCCAAAACGAATGTCGGCAAGTCATCCTCAAAGGAAATGAGGGAACCTGAGATCTCCACACCACTGTCAGGGCCAAAGTCCTCCATCACTGACTCTGGGAGAAGCAGGTGCATCAAGGTACGCATCTTGTTGGAAGCTGTGGTCTACCATGCTGCATGTTAAACATGCAAAGTTCCAAGACAAGGCAAAGTTATCCAAGTGCAAGCTTCAAGATCAAAGTCATGGGACAGAGAATCTGCCCACAAACAATATTTGGTAATCAGGTTTCATGAATCTCTCAATAAAACAACAACCGCTTTCCATGTCCACAGCACCATTTAAAGCTCTCCCATCTCAAGTCACTCCAGGGCATTCCTGGAGGATGGGGCGGAGGCCCAGGGCTGGGGTGAGGTGAGTGAGGCACTTGTCTCAGGAGCAAAATTTAAAGGAGTGCCAAAAAACTCAGTAATCAAGAACATAATATTTTAATGTAATATTTTAAAATATCAAAACTAATGCAAAAAAAAAAAAAACACTATGGACCAAAAAAGTCAGTTTTAAAGAAAGACAAGATTCCTATTACTGACATCTCCTTTGCCCTCAGGCTAATACAGCTCTGCTCAGCACTACCTTTCAAAACTAAGGGAATGGAGGGCCAGATGCCAAGGCTTTCAAGGGATGAAGCCAGCCTGGGATCCTGCGCTGACAGTCCCAGGCGAATCCCCCGGGGAGTTCTCCATTTTACAAAGGAAATCCCTGCCCAGGAGCTTGAAGAGCTGAATACCCAATCTCCCAGGAGCAATAGTATTCTTAAATAACCTGAAGGCTGAACTCACCAGAAATGTAAGTTGATATAAAATTCGCATCTAGTTAGTTCACTCAAACAATGTATTTCTGAAACCAAAATGTATCGAAGGATACTTACTGAAGGAAGAGTAAGTGTCTTGAAAGAGCCTGAAGGAAAAACAGAAAAGGAAACAGAGTCATCACAATGTGAATATGATGATGCAATACAAAACTTAAAGCACGAACGCTCCTAAGATACTTTTAGGTATGGATGAAATCATAAGCCTTATACCTAACCCTGAATTGTACACCACATTGTACACCACATCTCTATAATTAAAAAAAAGAAATGATAAGCTTGTTTGGTTAAACCAAAATAATTGTACCAATGCCCAGAACACCCAGAAATTATGACATATGTTTGTGCCAAAGAATTAAAAGTGAGGATTAAAAAGGCATCAGTGAATCTCTGCTTCGCTTTGCCATTCTTACTCTTTTTTCTTTTTTTTTTAATTGCAGAGATGGGGTCTTGCCAAGTTGCCTGGGCTGGTCTTGAACCAGCGGGTTCAGGCAATCCACTCTCTTTGGACTCCCAAAGTGGTGGGATTACAGGTTGAGCCACCAAGACGGCCGCCATTCTTATTCTTGTTCTCACTGTTGTTTCTGCTCCTGGTGTTGGTTTAAGGTCAACCCACTTGAGGGATACTTTGCACAGGGTATGGGGGTAACCTGGGCCTGCCTGCTTATGTTCTCATACCCCTCGTGACAAGGAAGAAGAAGGAGGCCTTTGTCACGTCTCGGGGTGGGGGGGGGACTGGGACTCATAGCTGATTCATGAGTACTAGGGCGATGCAGACTTTTCTCATTTAAAGTTTCTAAACATAGGACTGCCAATGAAACTCATGCCAATTTCTCACCAGATCCATTTATTTCAAGGGAAAAAATAATGTCAAGTTAAAAACTAGAGAGTACTTGCCAGAGGCAGTGACTCATTCCTGTAACCCCAGCACTTTGGGAGACCGAGGCAGGAGGATTGCTTGAGCCCTGGAGGTGAAGACCAGTCTGAGCAACATAGCGAGACCCCATCTCTACAAAAAATAAAAATAAAAATTAGCCGGACATGGCGGCATACACCTGTAGTCTCAGCTACTCAGGAGGCTGAGGAGGAAGGATTGCCTGAGCCCAGGAAGTGGTGAGCCGTGATGGTACCACTGCACTCCAGCCTGGGCAACAGAGTGGGACCTCGACTCAAAAAAAGAAAAAAAGAGAGAGAGAGAGAACCTATCCAATGATAGGCCCTCAGTTCCTTTATTCTTTTCGAAACTATGTATTAAGGGTAACACGATGAACAAAGTGACGTGGTCCTTCTCCTCCTGGAAGCCACAGAGGTCCACCATGTGGGAGCAGAGAGGCCCAGATCATGCCACGGAACAGTGTAAGAGCTAAGTAAGTGGACTCTGGACTCAGACTATGTGCTAGCCCAGTCCTTGAACAAATTACACGATTGCCCCCTCAGTGTTTTCATCTATAAAATAGGGATGCTGCCAGGCTCAGTGGCTCAGCCTGTAATCCCAACTCTTGGGGAGGCCAAGGCAAGTGGATGGCCTGAGCCCGCGTGTTCGAGACCAGCCCGGGCAACTTGGCGAGGTCTTGTCTCTACACTAAATCAAAAATCAGCCAGGTGTGGTGGCACATGCCTGTAATTCCAGCTCCTTAGAAGGCTGAGGCCAGAGCCCAGCAGGTCGCACTCCAGCCTGGGCGACAGGATGAGACTACAACTCAAAAAAGTCAATAAATAAATAAAATGGGGATTCGGATAATTGTGCCAATCTCATAAAGTGATGGTGAGGAATGATGGTTAATGCCTGGCACACGGGAAACACGTGGTACTTTGGCCACATCATGCCAAGAAACCTGCAGAGCTACCCCCTAAATGTCAGCGTGCCCCTACTGAAGAGGTCTTAAAGCTTCCTGGAGTCCTCCATCAAAAAAATTCAGTACACATTACCAACGCCAAATGAGATTTACAAAGTTATTTACATGTACTTTCTCAACAAACAGACTAAATATTAGAAAGGCCTTCGTTTCTTAGCCTTGCTAAGTAAAATAATAAAAATAAAGATGAGTACATGTTCTACCGCCACCCTTATCAACAGTCTTGTACACTCCCAGACATGTGCACACCCACTCTGAAATCCACCGCCCCGGTGGGCCACACACGTGTTCAGGAACAGATAAGCAACTCATCACCACCACTTTTCACCTGGTACACATCGGTTTCTCCAATACCTGCCACTAGAAAAAGGGCACTGGACAAAAAGTATTTTGAAGAAATAAAAAACAAACATTTGTGAACAGATGTGTCAACATGAAAGGACCACAACAGAGATGGCACGGGAGCCCACTGGCAGCATCAAGGGGAGGTGCCCAGAGAAAACGATTCCAGGGTCCAGGGTCAATACCAGGGTCCAGGGTTATAGGACCAGGAGAACTGGCCAAGTGAGGGAGGAGGGGAAGAAGGCTCCAAGCAAAGGAGCAGACATGCAAAGCAGTGGAAGCTGATGTGAGTCACCCAGATCAAAGAACTGGGTAAAAAAGACCATGGGGGGCAGAAAGGGGGAGACAGGGCAGGCCAGGGCGGGGGGGGGGGGGAGAACAGGTGTGGGGAGGGCCAGCACTCCAGCGGCCTTCTCGCCAGGACCATCCTGTGACACTGCATCCCAGCATCCTGATTTAGGACACTAGTCCTGGAACTTTTTTGGTTAGCAAAATGTTATTATGGGATGGGTTTAATCTGCACATGATTTAACTTTTAAAATATCTGCATTCTTTTTTTTTTAATTGACAAAGTCATATCTACTTATGGCGCACAACATGACATTTTAATGTATGTATAAATTGTAAAATGGCTAAATCAAGCTATTTAACATATGCATTACCCCACATACTTATCATTTATTTATGGGAAAACATTTAAAAATCTACTCTCCTGGCCAGGCAAGGTGGCTCACTACTGTAATCCTAGCACCTTGGGAGGCCAAAGCAGGAGGATCACTTGAAGCCAAGAGTTCACGCTCAATCTGGCCAACATAGTGACACTCCTTCTCTTTAAGTTTATAAAACTTAAAAATTAAAATTAAAAAAAACACACACAGCCTGGGAAACATAGCGAGACCTCATCTCTACAAAAGAATTTTAAAAATAAAAATTAGCTAGGTGTGGTGGCACACACCTATAGTCAAGAGGCTAAGGCAGAAGGACTGCCTGAGCACAGGAAGTCAATGCTATAGTGAGCCTTGATCATGCCACTGTACTCCAACCTGGGCGACAGAATAAGACTCCAACTCAAAAACATATATAAATTCTCTTAGCAATTTAAGTACACAATATTTTGTTATTAACTGTGGTCACCATGAGGTACAAAAGCACTCTTAAAATTATTCCTCCTGCATAACTCAAATTGTGTGTCCTCTGATCAATATCGTCCCACTTCCCCTGCCCCCCCCAGCCTCTGGTAACTGCCACTTTACTCTGTTTCTACAAACTCATCCTTTTTCACACTCCACATATGAATGAGATCATGCAGTATGCATCTTTCTGTGTCTGGCTTATGTTACTTAATATGACGTCCTCCAGGTTCATCCATGTCATCACAAATGAAGGGATCTCCCTTTGTAAGTCTAAATAGCAGTCCATTGTATAGACTACATTTCCCTTACCCATTCAACAGCTGATGGTCACTTGAGTTGAGTCCACATCTTGGCCACTGTGAATAGCGCTGCGATGAACACGGGGTACAGATGTCTCTTCAACACACTGATTTCAACTCCTTGGGACATTCGCCTACTTGTGCTTGGGGAATGTCTTAACTTGTGGGAAGAAACCTCTGTTCATGAAGCTCTCACTTTGAATGTGACAGATGTGTGGTCTACGCTGAACTGAAGCAAAATTGAAAAGCCCTAGAGTACTGCAGCAACTAAACTTGGCAAAAGTGTCAAAAGGAACCATAAACAAGGCCATTGGCCTGACAAATTCTGTCTTGTAAAAATATTTATTGAAAAGAGGCATGGGCTCTGCAAGGTCAAAGACAAACCCAGTGAAATCATTCAGGCTGACGCATTTAAACACCTTGACACGGGGAAGATGGGACGGGGAACAGCCTCTCTAAAGGAGACTCTGCCCTGGTCCCACCAGGTGCCTCAATATGTACAGAGAACATGATGGTCAGACAGCCTGGACGTGGAAGTGAATGGTAAGTTATAAACCACTGAGTGGCCAGGCATGGTGGCTCATGCCTATAATCCCAGCACTTTGGGAGGCCGAGGTGACAGCACTGCCTGAGCTCATGGGTTCAAGACCAGCCTGGGAAACTTGGCAAGACCTCTACAATAATCCAAAAAATTAGCTGGGCGTGGTGGTGCGCACCTGTAGTTCCAGCTACTTGGAAGGCTGACGCGGAAGGATCACCTGAACCCAGCAGGTTGAGGCTGCAGTGGCTTTGAGTGTGCCACTGCACACTCCAGCCTGGGCAACAGAGTGAGACTCCAACTCAAAAAAATAATAATAAGCTACTGAGTAACACAAGATTCCATAAGTTCATGCTGTTGTGTGGTTAAATGCATGACTACATGAGAAAGAAGAAAAAGTTATTCACCACAGAATTCCAACTAACACATGTAGAAGGAATCATTAAATTCAGATATTTCATAACTATTTCATACGGCAATCATCAGTTCTGACAATACTCATCCATCTGGTGGGTGCAGGCTAGGTGAGAATCGTGAGAAGTAATAACCGAAGGTTGTTTTAATCTACCCTATCTAGGGTCGGCTTGTTTCACAGCAGTAGGTCACTGGAACCTCCTGAAACAAACAGGATGGATGAACCAGCCTCCAAAGCCATACAGCCCTACATGGCAGCAGGCAGCCACACATGGACACATGGCTCCAGGGCCACTGAAACACGCAGCAAGTGTAAATACACCCCAGATTCTAAGAGTCACACCCAAAAAGAATGTAAAGGCCTCATCCGCAATTTTAGAGCAATTACATGTGGAACTGATATTTGGGAATGATGGGGTTAAAATAATTAACATCTGCACCCCATGATGAAATCAGTGTGTTGAAGAGACATCTGCACCTCGTGATCATCGTGGCACTATTCACAGT